AGACATTTCAAAAGATTCCATATGAGAAAATCCAGGAGTAAAAAAACCACATGAATTGCAAAACAGTACATCTAACCTCACAGATGCAAATTCAGGTCCAGGGGGATCTAATCAACCTCTTTGTTGAAGTAAACATAAAACTTTTTTGACAGCAAATGCTATTCTGATAAAATGGAATTTCCAATTACTCTATGAACATCTGGTCCATGCTACCATTTCTAGAACCCAGCAGCATACTGCTTTGCAATGTCACAAAATCTTCTCCACTAAGAACTCTCTATTTTGCCAGAAGGCTAATTGAAATAAATGTTTGGAAATTTAGTAAGGTGAGAGGTGAATCAGGGGGATAGGTAGAAGGATAAGGAAGAGATGTTCAGTCAGTGAATTATAATTTCACTAAAAGGCTAGAGGAAATGAACTTACACATTATTGGTATAGTGTTGAAAGTGTAGATATCTTAATACACCTGTGGTTGAAACTAGACTATGCATAGTATGCAGCCTACAGAATATTTTCATCAGTAATTTGTAATAGCAGGTGCATCAGTCTCAGATCAAGCTCTTCAAATCCATTTTTTACACCAAAAAATGTTAAATGATATTCAGGTGGTAAAACTAGCAAATAAACAAGTTAGCAAAATGCAAAAAAAAAACAAACAAAAAAACCCTACAGTTCCAGAAATAAAGCAATCATTATATTGCATTTGGGTGCATTTGGATGTGAAAAGAAGATAAATGTCATTGCAAATTTCTGTATGTTGCTTCCATTTGGAATCAATTAAAATAGGAAGGCAATCAATTCATTGCTGTAGTGAACTCCAAATTAGTTGCATATTACAGCAATTTAGAGCCATATTTTCAGCTGTGGTGAAAATTCAGGGAATTTCAGAGAAATTCTTGCCCCTGCCAGAATGTGGTGATTTTACCAAATACCTTGAATTCAAGGAAGGAAGGCATTGTTAAAATATTCTATTGTGACTCTCAATTAGCATCAAATCACCTTAGAAACCAAACTAGGTGATAAAATCTGCTCAGTCATAGCATTTACTTATTTTCAAGGCATTGTGAGAATTACAGAGAGACAGCATTCCAAAAAGTGTCATATGCCAGTAGAAAGTATAGGATAAAGAATTTTCATCACCTTCTTTTCTGGGAACAAGAACTATAGTACTGGGGAAAAGCTGAGACAAATTAATCCAAAGGCACTTGCAGATGATAAATGAATTTGCAATTCAGTCACCTGGTGACCAGGAAATTCATTTAGGCATGTAGAGAATAATACCAGGATTGATAATAATCCAGAAAGCTTAGATTCTTGTCATTTCCTCTTACCTCCATCCTGACTCAGCTCATGGATGTGTTTGGTAGAAACAATGAAACACAAAGCACAATCCAAAGTCAAGTGGCTAAACCATAACTTTTGCCCTTTGAGTGCAAAAGACTTCCAGACAGCCATGGCTGGTGTGGCTCAGTGGATTGAGCATTGGCCTGTGTGAATCAAAGGGTCTCTGGTTCTATTCCCAGTCAGGGCACATGCCTGGGTTGCTGGCCAAGTCAGATCCCCAGTAGGGGGTTCATGAGAGGCAACCGCACATTGATGTTTCTCTCCCTCTTCCTCCCTCCCTTCCTCTCTGTCTAAAATAAATAAAATTAAAAAATAAAAACTTCCAGACATTCTCCTTCCTTGGTTAAATATAGTGATTCTGGGTTCCCACTCCTAAAATGTGTTTTCAAGGAAGAGTTGCTGAAAATTAAGAAATTTAAGCCTTTACTCTGAGAGCCACAGAATACCCTTGAAATTGATGCTGAGTACTATTCTGCTACAGTAAAGTTGTCAGAACAAAAATACTTTTGGCAGTGTGAAACGTTGCAGGGTCTAGGTGTCTCAGAAATCTAGAGTAGATGTAGTTTGTACCTTTCCTCAAACACTAGCAACACAATTTTAGCTCATTGAACAACCTGTTACTGCTCAAGGAAAAGAATTAACAGATGAATAAAATTATTCATTTTGAAAACCGTAAGGTTCCCATCAATTATGTGTCCACATATGTGCAAAAAAGATGCTGTGCTAATATCCAAATTAGAAACATCATGGAGAGAGCTACAGACATGAAATCCAAGGTGAGTCAAATTCTCCAAAAACAAAAATGTAAGGTATACTCTGTTGGGTATATTTTGCCCAACATTGGAGTGCTTCTGACAGAACCAGAAGAAATATCATCAGGATCAGAGTTAGGCTGACAAGGTTATTGTAACCTGTGGTTTTCTCCAGAGGCATCCACTCAAACCTCAAAAACAGTTCAGCTCTGGAACCTCCAGGATTTCAGAGCACTTGGGTTTGAGATGCCTATCACAGTATTAATGAACCAAAAAATACCTGGGACTTGACTATTTTTTCCCTTGAGGAATCTTTGAGACTTTCAGTGCCAGTATGAGTCTGTGGGAGATTTAATTTTTCCTCCTTAACTTTCTAAATTGGTAATCCCCCAAAACAACAATACCATATTGCCTTGAAATGAATCTAACTAAAACTATTCTAATTAGAGTGGTTACAAGATCACACATGCATGGTAAATTAACTCAGTGCTTGCTTTTTAACCACTGTGCCTTAGGATAAAAGAAAAACATTTATTATGTGAATCCAGGTTTGAGATAACAAAATGCTATAAAATGCCAGTTGTTAAAATTGTTGCTGCTGTTTGAGGTAACAGTAATCAACCCAAGTGAATTGATGGCACAGTCTTTGTAGCTAGCCTAGAGTTGGTTCGAAATAGAATAATTATCACTATGGAAAGCTCAGAAGTACTGGGATGTCATAAGGAAGAGCCTGAGATATAAGCAATATCTGAATTCCCTTTGCAACAGAAATTTAATGATTCAGTCAAGTTAAAAAGAACAAACACAAGGGTTGGTTCAATGTTTAGTCACTGCTGGAATCATGGAAATAATGAAGATACACATATGAACATTGAATATTAAGAAACAAAATGTGAAAATGTTGCCAAAATGGAACAGCAAAAAAAAATGTGTGTGTATATAATCACCATCTCTTCTGTAGAAGGGTCTTGAGATAATGCCACACATTTGCTTTAGAATACTCTCATTTGTATATTACACACACACACACACACACACACACACACACACACACACAATACATCCCATTTATAAGGAACACTCCAGAAAAAAACTAGCTGCAGTCCACTGATACTGTTTTCCTGGAGAAATATGACAAGAAATTAAAACAGATGTTCTACCCAAGCATAAAGTGAGAATCTATTATGACTATTTACTTTTCTACAGTCACTTTATTTTAGAGAACATCTAACTAAAACTCTTTCTGAGGTAAATGAAATAGCATTTCTTTGAGACTCAAGAGTAAATGATACATATCAGTCTGTGTCCTGTGACACACGGCTAATCTCAGAATTAAAAAGTCTCTTTTTCAGTTATGTAAATGTTTAATTTTTTAGAATTAGTCTTAGTAAGGTTTCCCAGAAAGTATATTATCTCTAAGAATGTCACCACTCTCCAGTTAGGGAAGGCAGAGGTGCACAATCAGCAGTGACCTCTCTATATTACAGACCTTTACACTTAGATCTACTGGGGAGGGATAGATTAGACAATTTAATAGAATCTACAGTGACTAAATTTTTTCCATGGAAAACATTTTGTTTTGTGCATCATAAATTTTTCCCTGTGGATTCATTTACAAGACCAAAACAGCATTTAATGGTGTTTATAGTACAGTAAAAGTGCTGAAGACCAGCACATAATCACCATATTTTGTTTTCTCATCTTTAAGTCTTTTAGCAGTGGGGGCTTCCAGTTGACCTTGTGTCTAGCTTCTCTCAAGACATAGCCAAGCATTCTGAAAATTCACTGAGTCTAAACATGAAGCCAAATTCATAGTTCTTAATTGAAAAAGACAGACTGTTTGCCTAACATGTTTACATCAGTAAAACATCGAAAATGACATTTGTGCCCAAGTCCATTTGAACATTCTGCCTTAGCTGAACTCTGCTAATATTTTTGTACCCTGATTTCTGACTAACACAGTTTTAAAGTAGCTCCTCTTGCCAAAGGACGTGTGGCTGATTTCACAAAAATAGGCTCTTCTTCATACATGAGCATGCTACTCCTGACATGTATGGTGTCTGGCAAATTATTGACAAATAATGCTCCCTTTTTATTACAAAATCATAAGCATGATATTCTGTAACATAACAATATCACACTCAAGAACACCATATGAAATTTTAGGTGAAATGTTCAAATTAAAACAATAAAATAGTATACCCATATTACTACCCTACCAAACACACTCAAGCAGGTGTGACTTGTGCCAGACCCTGTACTTCAAAGTGTTTTTCACATGCACCAAATGTTATGCTGAGTGAGCCATGTTTTCTTACCCTGGTATCTTCTATGACCAATAGCATGGATTTGTGTGGTATCCAAAGAGATCTGGCAAAGCAGTTCCATAAACATAATAATAAATCTGGAACTTTCCTTCTACAATAAAGAGTATGTAATCTGTGGTCAGAGAACAGAGTCTCTCTCTGGGTAAAGTTAACTAGCCTGATATGGAAATAAAATGCATCCCTTTGGTCTCATTAGTGCTATGTTCTGTGCAACTTGATTGTTCAGTTAAATTAATGTACTAACATAAAAGGGGTGTTTATTCCTGATGAGAAGGAATCTGCTCATTTCCTATGTGCTCAGGGTAGTTAATAATTGAAGATAATTTATGCAGTATACATATAGTTAGCTTTTAAAATATATGAATATTATACAATCATAGAAGATCCCATCCAGGGAAGTTAAAGTAGGATCTGGTCATGTATCGGGACATCTCAAACCCCTATAGAAGCTTTTGAGTCATGAGCATAGTGCACACCTTGACAACACATTCAGTATAGTAAGGTAAGACACTATGCCCACAAGCATTCTGGTTTCTTTGGAGTCTATGATTGTAACTTACATCCAACCAGCCCTTACCATGGTCAGGTATCTGAGATCCCATGGAGGTCACACTGGTGTTCAGCACATCATTGACAGCAGTATCACAATACAGGCTCCGCTGGACATCATGCTCACTGTCAGTCTGGTCACTTTCCTCATGTCCACTATCCTTCAGACTGTTGCCCTCTAAGTCCTTGAAGGTGGAGCTGCTGGGTTAAAGAAAGAATGATAATTTACAACTGTGATAAAAATAATTTTAAAAATCTTTCAGAGACAGGATGATGTCACCTCTGTGGTGAGGCCAACAATGACTGGAATGCCCAACAACGTAGGAAGAAGAGAAATTTCAGTTTAAAGATAATGGAACTTAACATTGCATGGAGTTTCCTACAATTGGATGCTGATGCAGCTAATACTTTCATTCACTTATCTTCAGTGCATTACTACAGGCAAAGTTGAAGAAGCTACAAATGTGAAACCACCACTTGCAAAGAATATAATCATTTCAGAAGGTTTTCTTTCCCTTATTATATACTCAACATAAAATAATAATAGCTAATGTTTACTGACAAATTACCATGCATGAGACACTGTTGTAAGTGATTGACATGAATTAACTTTTTTCACTATCACAACTCTATAAGAGAAAAGTACATTAATAGACACATAACAGAAAATATGTTGATAGATATTCCTATTCACAATGAAAAAAAAAGCCACATGGAAGTTAAATAATGTGAGCGAGGTCACACAGCATGTAAAAATGTAGCAGATCTACTATGAAACCTAGGCAATCTAGCTCCAGAGCCCAGACCCTTAACCACTATGTATACTGCCTCTTCAAAGATGTCTACTAATCACTGTAAAAATGGAAGTGGCAGTAGTAATTGAGGTGATGCAATTAAAATAGAAAGGATTACTGGGATCAGAGAACTCAGGTCAGTTTTAACTGAAAAAAGACAAAGGACATATTCAGAGAAAAAGAGGATAGAAAGGAGTTGAGAAGAGGAGAGACTTAGTGCATGGAAAGTAAGACAATAAGGTGAACCAGAAAGTGAGCTCCAACAAACTGTGGATGAAGATTTGCTAAGAACATGGAAACTTTCAGTTCAGGTGTTTGGGTAATATTTTCTTGCACTTATTCAATCAATCTACCACACAGTGCACTAAGCATACCATCCCAAACCCTCACACCATTTCTCATGAACTAGACAATACTACATAAGGTACATCCATAGAGGCCCCATCTGCAATTTCTAATACTTCATATGTCCTGACAGACTTTGCAACTGTGCTACACCATGGACCATAAATTATACACCTAAAACACTTATTGAATGGTGAATCTGTTCCCTAGCCAGCAAGGAAGAAGCGGAGGCATACTCAAGAATATGTGTTGTTGTCTGTGTTGTTGTCATCTCAACAAGGGAGGGTGGCATTCTTGCAAATTAGGACAAGTCTCCACAGATCTATCACAACTCTGAAAAGAAAGCCGTGTGGAAATGACACTGCAAACTTACTTGATCTGCTTAACCTTGAACATCCATAAGCCTGCCTCTCTGAGGCTTTGTGATAAGAACATTCAGTACATGTTATAAAGACCTAGTCCATGAATACAATGGAACTTGGTCAAAAGGAATCACAGCAGACTTTTAGCATATGACCAACATGGATGGAGAATGCTTAGTGACCTGAATATGAAAAGGAAAAGATCAAAAGGGCAGAAACTGAAAACCCATAATTACAAGAAAAATGAAGAGCAAGAGAGAATGAAGCATTGACCTGTTTGCTAATATTTTTAGAAATGATAACTGATCATTAGCTGTATTAAAACTAAAATCATTAAATAGGGCAACTTGCTCGGCTCCACCAAATTTTGTCATGCATACTCAGCCCTGTGGGATGTTCTATTCAAAAACCAATCATAACTCTTTTACGGACAAGAAGACCAATTGGAAACACATGCTTTAAAGTTGGCCAACATTTTTAGCTTTATGACACAGATTTTAGGGTTTCCTATAAATATTAATTCCACAGTTTGAACTGATTCAAAGTTTGTTTTTTATGCAAAAAAATCGGACCTGCCCAGGTGCACTCCCTCACCTTAGAAGAAGGAAAATACCTGCTTTGATAGTATTACTGGCTTCTATATTTTTATAACAAATATTAATTTTTCAATCTACATCAATAATATCTGAAGCACATGAAGAATTCTTTAATCCACAACACAAAACTCTTTTTTTTAATTTTTATTTAGTTATTTTTCAAGTACAGTTTTTGTCTATTTCTCCCTTCCCAGCCCACCCCCGCCCTGTCTCCCCCCTCTCTCCCATTCCCCCCCCAGTCCTCATCCCTGTGTCTTTCATACTTGTTCTTCAAAATCCCTCCCCCTTTTTCCCCTTAAATTCCCTTCTCTCTCCCCTCTGGTCGCTGCCCACTTGTTCTCTATTTCAGTGTCTTTGTTTTTATTCTGTTTGCTTGTTTGTTTTATTGTTTAGCTTCCTGTTAAAGGTGAGATCATATGGTATTTGTCCTTCAATGCCTGGCCTATTTCACTCAGCATAATGCTTTCCAGTTCCATCCATGTTGTTGCAAAGGGTAGTAGCTCCTTCTTTCTCTCTGCTGCAGAGAATTCCATTGTGTATATGTACCACAATTTTTTGATCCATTCGTTTACTGATGGACACCTAGGTTGCTTCCAACTCTTGGCTATTGTAAATTGTGCTGCTATGAACATTGGGGTGCATAGGTTCTTTGAAATTGATGTTTTAGAATTCGTGGGATATAATCCTAGCAGTGGAATTGCTGGGTCAAAAGGCAGGTTGATTTTTATTTTTCTGAGAAACTTCCATACTGTTTTCCATAATGGTTTTACCAGTCTGCAATCCCACCAACAGTGGACTAAGGACCCCTTTTCCCCACAACCTCTCCAACATTTGTTGTTTGTTGCTTTGTTTATGATAGCCATCCTGACTGGTGTAAAGTGGTATCTCATTGTGGTTTTAATTTGCATCTCTCTGATAGCTAACAATATTGAGCATCTCTTCATGTGTCTCTGGATATTCTGTATGTCCTCTTTAGAGAAGTGTCTGTTCAAGTCCTTTTCCCATTTTTTAATTGGGTTAAATGTCTTCCTAGAGTGGAGTCGTGTAAGTTCTTTGTATATTTTGGAGATTAAACCTTTGTCTGAGGTATCATTGGCAAATATGTTTTCCGATACAGTTGGTTGTCTTGCTAATTTAATACTGTTTTCTTTAGCCATGCAGAAGCTTTTTATTTTGATGAGATCCCATTTGTTTATTCTTTCCTTTATATTCCTTGCTCTAGGGGACATATCGGTAAAAATGTTGCTGCGTGCACAACACAAAACTCTTAAAGCTAGTGATTGAACCCTGAATTGACTGCATTTCAGCAGTTGCCAAAACTTATTTAAGATATATAATGGTGAGGGATATAGTTTAAGGACCATGCAGTTAACCATTCCTTAGAGCAAAGTTTTTCTACCTTGGCAGTATTGATATTTTAGACTGCATAATTATTTGCTGTGGGGGATTGTCCTGTGCATTGTAAGATGTTTAGCAGCATCACTGGCCTCTACCCCCCCGATGCCAATAGTGTCCCTCCCAGAAGCTAAAACCAAAAATGTCTCCAGATAGTGCCAAATGACTACCATTTAAGAACTGCTGTAGGTCCTTTAAACTCTGTTCCTGTGACATGTTAGATTTCCAGACTGTAGTGAAAAGAGCAATATATTTGAAGTGATTAGAACAAGTGATACTCTGTAGTCTTCAATTTCATCTATGGGACCCTTGACTGATATCTAATGTCTTTAAACCTTGATTTCCTTGTCCATAAAGTGCATTTGCTAATACCTCCTTCACAAGGCTATTTTGAGGACTCAAGGAGATACTGTTCATGAAGTACCAGGTATTCACAATTGTTCAATAAATAATTATTGTCTAATATGATCATTACCCCATATGGCAATGTTTTTATTGAGTTACAATTAAATATTATGTTCATAGTCTTTTTATAGGATTGATATAGAAAATGTAGTATATTTAAAGAATGTTTCTATATCATCTATTAGTCAGATTTTGTTCATTATGTTCACTTTTCCTAAAGTTCATGAATAGGAAAAAAATTCCTATCAATTGTGTATTCTTTCTTTATTGAAAAATGGAGTCCTGGCTGGTATAGCTCAATGGATTGACTGTGGGCCTGTGAAGCAAAGGGATGCTGGTTCAATTCCCAGTCAGGGCACATGCCTGGGTTGCAGGCCAGGTACCCAGTGGGGGACACATGAGAGGCAACCACACACTGATGTTTCTCTCCCACTCTTTTTCTTTCCCTTTCCCCTCTAAAAGTAAATAAGTAAAATATTAAAAAAATAAAAATGGAACTATATGCCCTGGTACACTTCCCATTTTATATTGCCTTTCCAAAAGCTTCAAGATAAATATAATATTAAATTGCAGTGAGTTAGATGTCAAGGATATAGCTTCTAAATGGCTATGGATCTGCCTTTTTCAATTTTGATTATTCTATTTTAATATGTATCTAATATTATAAAACACCTTAGGGCTTTTGATGTTTATGTACAAAGGAGAGAAATAATAAAATAGTGAAGGATTGGCTACTAGGAACTAAGGGACTGGTAGTGTGAGCATAAAAAGTCATGTATTCTCTTTTTTAAAATTATCTTTTATTGTTGTTCAAGTACAGTTTTCTCCATTTTTCCGTGACCATTTTCCCCTTCCCCACCTTCCTCCACCTCCCACCCCTCACCCTCAATCCTTCTTTGGTTTTGTCCATGGGTCCTTTATACATGTTCCTAGAAGTCATGTATTCCCAAAGAAAAGCCAAAGGGTATATACCTTTCCCCCAAACCCTGGAATAGTTTTAAGCCTTTTATTTATTTTATTGACTTTATTTTTAATTATTTTAATTAATGTTTGAATACAGTTGTCTCCATTTTCCAACCCCATCCACCCCCACCTCCAACCCTCAATCCTATCCCTCTTTGGCTTTGTCTGTGCATCCTTTATACATCTTTGACATCTTTCCCCCATTATTTCCCTCTCTACTTCCCTCTAGTTACTGTCAGTTTGTTCTTAATTTCAATGTCTCTGGTTATTATTTTGCTTGCTTGTTTGTTTTGTTGATTAGCTTCCACTTATTCATAGCAGCACAGTTTACAATAGCCTAG